CAGAGTGGAAGCAATGGAAGGCCGTACAGGGCCAGGTCACACTGTGGGACCAGCATCAGCGTGAACAGGCGGTACGGGGCCCATGGCCGATTTGACCTCCTCATTCATCCCATAGTCCTGCCGACTCACGAATAGCGTGGCCTCCTCAAAGGGCCTGAGCAAGCGCAGGTGTCACACATGAGCTGCCAATGGCTGACATCTAAGTTACACAGGGAGTACCTTTATCCGCTTTTAACATCAGGAAATCTGTGATGGCCTTTAGCTGTTCGTAAAGGCGGTCTAACATATGTAGGGTTGAATTCCACCTTGTTGCAACGTCACAGCATGAGGAGTCGGTACGGGGGCCCATGGCAGATTACATGTCTGGCAGCAGCTATGTGAGGCCCGTAATCTGCCTGCACCCTATGTCAAAAAAATTTAACACACCAGCAGTGTGAAGAGACCTGAAAGTGGCACATGGCAGCAGAGTGTGGCGATGGAGACAGCAGCAATGGGAGGCCGTACAGGGACCCATGAGAGACTCTGGACTTGGCAGCAGCATGAGGAGGCGGTATATAGGGGCCCATGGCAGATTAGGGGCCTGGCAGCAGCTATGTGAGGCCCGTAATCTGCCTGCACCCTATGTCAAAAAATTTAACACACCAGCAGTGTGAAGAGACCTGAAAGTGGCACATGGCAGCAGTGTGGCGATGGAGACAGCAGCAATGGGAGGCCTACAGGGACCCATGACAGACTCTGGACTTGGCAGCAGCATGAGGAGGCGGTATATAGGGGCCCATGGCAGATTAGGGGCCTGGCAGCAGCTATGTGAGGCCCGTAATCTGCCTGCACCCTATGGACACACCAGCAGTGTGAAGAGACCTGAAAGTGGCACATGGCAGCAGAGTGTGGGATGGAGACAGCAGCAATGGGGAGGCCGTACAGGGACCCATGAGAGACTCTGGACTTGGCAGCAGCATGAGGAGGCGGTATATAGGGGCCCATGGCAGATTAGGGGCCTGGCAGCAGCTATGTGAGGCCCGTAATCTGCCTGCACCCTATGTCAAAAAATGTAACACACCAGCAGTGTGTGTGAGGAGACCTGAAAGTGGCACATGGCAGAGTGTGGCGATGGAGACAGCAGCAATGGGAGGCCGTACAGGGACCCATGAGAGACTCTGGACTTGGCAGCAGCATGAGGAGGCGGTATAGGGGCCCATGGCAGATTAGGGGCCTGGTGGCAGCAGCTATGGAGGCCGTAATCTGCCAGCACCCTATGACAAAAAATGGACAACACACCAGCAGTGTGAGGAGACCTGAAAGTGGCACATGGGCAGAGTGTGGCGATGGAGACAGCAGCAATGGGGAGGCCGTACAGGGACCCATGGTCAGACTCTGGGACCTGGCAGCAGCATGAGGAGGGCGGTATACGGGGGCCCATGGCCGATTTGACCTCATTCATCCCATAGGGGCCTGCCGACTCAGAATAGCGTGAGGCCCAAAGGGCCTGAGCACCCGCATGTCACAAAAATGGCTGACACAAGCACAGCAGTGGAGACCTGAAATGGCACATGGCAGCAGAATGTGATGATGGCACCCGGCCTTTAGCTGTTCGCAAAAGGCGGTCTAGGGACATGATGACTTGATTCCACCTTGTTGGCAGCACAGCATGAGGAGGCGGTATACGGGGGCCCATGGCAGATTAGGGGCCTGGCAGCAGCTATGTGAGGCCCGTAATCTGCCTGCACCCTATGTCAAAAAATTTAACACACCAGCAGTGTGAAGAGACCTGAAAGTGGCACATGGCAGCAGAGTGTGGCGATGGAGACAGCAGCAATGGGAGGCCGTACAGGGACCCATGAGAGACTCTGGACTTGGCAGCAGCATGAGGAGGCGGTATATAGGGGCCCATGGCAGATTAGGGGCCTGGCAGCAGCTATGTGAGGCCCGTAATCTGCCTGCACCCTATGTCAAAAAATTTAACACACCAGCAGTGTGAAGAGACCTGAAAGTGGCACATGGCAGCAGAGTGTGGCGATGGAGACAGCAGCATGGGGAGGCCATACAGGGACCCATGACAGACTCTGGACTTGGCAGCAGCAGCATGAGGAGGCGGTATATAGGGGCCCATGGCAGATTAGGGGCCTGGCAGCAGCTATGTGAGGCCCGTAATCTGCCTGCACCCTATGTCAAAAAATTTAACACACCAGCAGTGTGTGAGAGAGACCTGAAAGTGGCACATGGCAGAGTGTGGCGATGGAGACAGCAGCAATGGGAGGCCGTACAGGGACCCATGAGAGACTCTGGACTTGGCAGCAGCATGAGGAGGCGGTATATAGGGGCCCATGGCAGATTAGGGGCCTGGCCTGGCAGCAGCTATGTGAGGCCCGTAATCTGCCTGCACCCTATGTCAAAAAATTTAACACACCAGCAGTGTGTGAAGAGACCTGAAAGTGGCACATGGCAGAGTGTGGCGATGGATGGAGACAGCAGCAATGGGAGGCCGTACAGGGACCCATGAGAGACTCTGGACTTGGCAGCAGCATGAGGAGGCGGTATATAGGGGCCCATGGCAGATTAGGGGCCTGCAGCAGCAGCTATGGAGGCCCGTAATCTGCCTGCACCCTATGTCAAAAAATTTAACACACCAGCAGTGTGAAGAGACCTGAAAGTGGCACATGGCAGAGTGTGGCGATGGAGACAGCAGCAATGGGAGGCCGTACAGGGACCCATGAGAGACTCTGGACTTGGCAGCAGCATGAGGAGGAGGGGTATATAGGGGCCCATGGCAGATTAGGGGCCTGGCAGCAGCTATGTGAGGCCCGTAATCTGCCTGCACCCTATGTCAAAAAAATTTAACACACCAGCAGTGTGAAGAGACCTGAAAGTGGCACATGGCAGCAGAGTGTGGCGATGGAGACAGCAGCAATGGGAGGCCGTACAGGGACCCATGACAGACTCTGGACTTGGCAGCAGCATGAGGAGGCGGTATATAGGGGCCCATGGCAGATTAGGGGCCTGGCAGCAGCTATGTGAGGCCCGTAATCTGCCTGCACCCTATGTCAAAAAATTTAACACACCAGCAGTGTGAAGAGACCTGAAAGTGGCACATGGCAGCAGAGTGTGGCGATGGAGACAGCAGCAATGGGAGGCCGTACAGGGACCCATGACAGACTCTGGACTTGGCAGCAGCATGAGGAGGCGGTATATAGGGGCCCATGGCAGATTAGGGGCCTGGCAGCAGCTATGTGAGGCCCGTAATCTGCCTGCACCCTATGTCAAAAAATTTAACACACCAGCAGTGTGAAGAGACCTGAAAGTGGCACATGGCAGCAGAGTGTGGCGATGGAGACAGCAGCAATGGGAGGCCGTACAGGGACCCATGAGAGACTCTGGACTTGGCAGCAGCATGAGGAGGCGGTATATAGGGGCCCATGGCAGATTAGGGGCCTGGCAGCAGCTATGTGAGGCCCGTAATCTGCCTGCACCCTATGTCAAAAAATTTAACACACCAGCAGTGTGAAGAGACCTGAAAGTGGCACATGGCAGCAGAGTGTGGCGATGGAGACAGCAGCAATGGGAGGCCGTACAGGGACCCATGACAGACTCTGGACTTGGCAGCAGCATGAGGAGGCGGTATATAGGGGCCCATGGCAGATTAGGGGCCTGGCAGCAGCTATGTGAGGCCCGTAATCTGCCTGCACCCTATGTCAAAAAATTTAAACACACCAGCAGTGTGTGAAGAGACCTGAAAGTGGCACATGGCAGCAGAGTGTGGCGATGGAGACAGCAGCAATGGGAGGCCGTACAGGGACCCATGAGAGACTCTGGACTTGGCAGCAGCATGAGGAGGCGGTATATAGGGGCCCATGGCAGATTAGGGGCCTGGCAGCAGCTATGTGAGGCCCGTAATCTGCCTGCACCCTATGTCAAAAAATTTAACACACCAGCAGTGTGTGAGGAGACCTGAAAGCACATGGCACATGGCAGAGTGTGGCGATGGAGACAGCAGCAATGGGAGGTACAGGGACCCATGAGAGACTGGACTGGCAGCAGCAGCATGAGGAGGCGGTATATAGGGGCCCATGGCAGATTAGGGGCCTGGCAGCAGCTATGTGAGGCCCGTAATCTGCCTGCACCCTATGTCAAAAAATTTAACACACCAGCAGTGTGTGAGGAGACCTGAAAGTGGCACATGGCAGCAGAGTGTGGCGATGGAGACAGCAGCAATGGGAGGCCGTACAGGGACCCATGAGAGACTCTAGACTTGGCAGCAGCATGAGGAGGCGGTATATAGGGGCCCATGGCAGATTAGGGGCCTGGCAGCAGCTATGTGAGGCCCGTAATCTGCCTGCACCCTATGTCAAAAAATTTAACACACCAGCAGTGTGAAGAGACCTGAAAGTGGCACATGGCAGCAGAGTGTGGCGATGGAGACAGCAGCAATGGGAGGCCGTACAGGGACCCATGACAGACTCTGGACTTGGCAGCAGCATGAGGAGGCGGTATATAGGGGCCCATGGCAGATTAGGGGCCTGGCAGCAGCTATGTGAGGCCCGTAATCTGCCTGCACCCTATGTCAAAAAATTTAACACACCAGCAGTGTGAGAGAGACCTGAAAGTGGCACATGGCAGCAGAGTGTGGCGATGGAGACAGCAGCAATGGGAGGCCGTACAGGGACCCATGAGAGACTCTGGACTTGGCAGCAGCATGAGGAGGCGGTATATAGGGGCCCATGGCAGATTAGGGGCCTGGCAGCAGCTATGTGAGGCCCGTAATCTGCCTGCACCCTATGTCAAAAAATTTAACACACCAGCAGTGTGAAGAGACCTGAAAGTGGCACATGGCAGCAGAGTGTGGCGATGGAGACAGCAGCAATGGGAGGCCGTACAGGGACCCATGACAGACTCTGGACTTGGCAGCAGCATGAGGAGGCATGAGGAGGCGGTATATAGGGGCCCATGGCAGATTAGGGGCCTGGCAGCAGCTATGTGAGGCCCGTAATCTGCCTGCACCCTATGTCAAAAAATTTAACACACCAGCAGTGTGAAGAGACCTGAAAGTGGCACATGCAGCAGCAGAGTGTGGCGATGGAGACAGCAGCAATGGGAGGCCGTACAGGGACCCATGAGAGACTCTGGACTTGGCAGCAGCATGAGGAGGCGGTATATAGGGGCCCATGGCAGATTAGGGGCCTGGCAGCAGCTATGTGAGGCCCGTAATCTGCCTGCACCCTATGTCAAAAAATTTAAACACACCAGCAGTGTGTGAAGAGACTGAAAGTGGCACATGGCAGCAGAGTGTGGCGATGGAGACAGCAGCAATGGGAGGCCGTACAGGGACCCATGAGAGACTCTGGACTTGGGCAGCAGCATGAGGAGGCGGTATATAGGGGCCCATGGCAGATTAGGGGCCTGGCAGCAGCTATGTGAGGCCCGTAATCTGCCTGCACCCTATGTCAAAAAATTTAACACACCAGCAGTGTGTGAAGAGACCTGAAAGTGGCACATGGCAGCAGAGTGTGGCGATGGAGACAGCAGCAATGGGAGGCCGTACAGGGACCCATGAGAGACTCTGGACTTGGCAGCAGCATGAGGAGGAGGCGGTATATAGGGGCCCATGGCAGATTAGGGGCCTGGCAGCAGCTATGTGAGGCCCGTAATCTGCCTGCACCCTATGTCAAAAAAATTTAACACACCAGCAGTGTGAAGAGACCTGAAAGTGGCACATGGCAGCAGAGTGTGGCGATGGAGACAGCAGCAATGGGAGGCCGTACAGGGACCCATGACAGACTCTGGACTTGGCAGCAGCATGAGGAGGCGGTATATAGGGGCCCATGGCAGATTAGGGGCTGGCAGCAGCTATGTGAGGCCCGTAATCTGCCTGCACCCTATGTCAAAAAATTTAACACACCAGCAGTGTGAAGAGACCTGAAAGTGGCACATGGCAGCAGAGTGTGGCGATGGAGACAGCAGCAATGGGAGGCCGTACAGGGACCCATGAGAGAGACTCTGGACTTGGCAGCAGCATGAGGAGGCGGTATATAGGGGCCCATGGCAGATTAGGGGCCTGGCAGCAGCTATGTGAGGCCCGTAATCTGCCTGCACCCTATGTCAAAAAATTTAACACACCAGCAGTGTGAAGAGACCTGAAAGTGGCACATGGCAGCAGAGTGTGGCGATGGAGACAGCAGCAATGGGAGGCCGTACAGGGACCCATGAGAGACTCTGGACTTGGCAGCAGCATGAGGAGGGCGGTATATAGGGGCCCATGGCAGATTAGGGGCCTGGCAGCAGCTATGTGAGGCCCGTAATCTGCCTGCACCCTATGTCAAAAAATTAAACACACCAGCAGTGTGAAGAGACCTGAAAGTGGCACATGGCAGCAGAGTGTGGCGATGGAGACAGCAGCAATGGGAGGCCGTACAGGGACCCATGAGAGACTCTGGACTTGGCAGCAGCATGAGGAGGCGGTATATAGGGGCCCATGGCAGATTAGGGGCCTGGCAGCAGCAGCTATGTGAGGCCCGTAATCTGCCTGCACCCTATGTCAAAAAATTTAACACACCAGCAGTGTGAAGAGACCTGAAAGTGGCACATGGCAGCAGAGTGTGGCGATGGAGACAGCAGCAATGGGAGGCCGTACAGGGACCCATGACAGACTCTGGACTTGGCAGCAGCATGAGGAGGCGGTATATAGGGGCCCATGGCAGATTAGGGGCCTGGCAGCAGCTATGTGAGGCCCGTAATCTGCCTGCACCCTATGTCAAAAAATTCTACACACCAGCAGTGTGAGGAGACCTGAAAGTGGCACATGGCAGCAGAGTGTGGCGATGGAGACAGCAGCAATGGGAGGCCGTACAGGGACCCATGAGAGACTCTGGACTTGGCAGCAGCATGAGGAGGCGGTATATAGGGGCCCATGGCAGATTAGGGGCCTGGCAGCAGCTATGTGAGGCCCGTAATCTGCCAGCACCCTATGTCAAAAAATTCTACACACCAGCAGTGTGAGAGAGACCTGAAAGTGGCACATGGCAGCAGAGTGTGGCGATGGAGACAGCAGCAATGGGAGGCCGTACAGGGACCCATGAGAGACTCTGGACTTGGCAGCAGCATGAGGAGGCGGTATATAGGGGCCCATGGCAGATTAGGGGCCTGGCAGCAGCTATGTGAGGCCCGTAATCTGCCTGCACCCTATGTCAAAAAATTTAACACACCAGCAGTGTGAAGAGACCTGAAAGTGGCACATGGCAGCAGAGTGTGGCGATGGAGACAGCAGCAATGGGAGGCCATACAGGGACCCATGACAGACTCTGGACTTGGCAGCAGCATGAGGAGGCGGTATATAGGGGCCTATGGCAGATTAGGGGCCTGGCAGCAGCTATAGGAGGCCCGTAATCTGCCAGCACCCTATGTCAAAAAATTAAACACACCAGCAGTGTGAGGAGACCTGAAAGTGGCACATGTTTGAGGCATGATTCATGGCGGATTTAGTCAGTTGTGTCAGGAACTGGTGGTTTGAAATCCAGACTAATCCACGCCTGATTCATTTTCACAAACGTGAGTCTCTCCACACTTTGGGTGGACAGTCGTGTCCTCCGCGGAGTTACAATACCTCCTGCCGCACTAAACACGCGCTCCGATGCCACGCTACTGGCCGGGCATGACAGCCTTTCAAGGGCAAATTCAGCTAGTTGGGGCCAAAGGTCAAGTTTCGTTGCCCAGTAGTCAAGGGGATTGTCTACCTCGGTTGGCAGGGTGCTGTCCAAGTAGGCCCAAGCCTGTTGTTTGAGCTCCTGCTCCAGGTCCACCTGATGCTGCTGCTGCTGCTGCGGCTGGTTAGTAGTTTCCTCACTGCGCTGGTGAAAGAAAGCTACTCATCATCGACTGCAGACTGAGGCAGCCGCTGCTGGTGGAGCTGCCACTGCTCCTACCACCCCACCCCTCCCCTGCTGCCATGCCAGCGGAACGCGAGCGCACAGGGCCCACAGTGTCTGAGGATGGACGTTGGCGCACAAAGGCAGAGACCAACTGACTACATAGGTGGTTTTTATAGTACGTAATTTTGGCCTCCCTCTCAGCAGCAGGTGTGAAAAAGGCCACCATTTTGGACCGGTAGCGAGGGTCCAACAAGGTGGACAGCCAAAAGTCATCCCTCTGTCTGATGGTTATTATTCGGCTGTCGCTACGCAAGCAACCGAGCATGCTATGGGCCATTTGTGCCAAGGAATGCGAGGGACTCCCTGCCTCCATCTCCACAGCATACTGCCACGGTGCGTCTGGGTCCTCTGTCTCCTCCTCCTCCTCCTCTACCAGATGCTCCTGCTCCTCCACTCCTGTCCGCTGAGTGGAAAAACCACCCATTTCACTCAATAATTCCTGAGCACAAATGTCCTCCTCTACCTCCTCCTCTTCTTCCTGTCCTGCCCCCACAGGGGTCATGTGGCGTTGAGATCTGTGCGCCACGTCTACCGCACCCTGACCAGCCATTGTTAACAGCATTTTTCCAGGACGTGCAACAGAGGAATGACGTCGTTCATCCCATAGTCCTGCCGACTCACGAATAGCGTGGCCTCCTCAAAGGGCCTGAGCAAGCGGCAGGTGTCACGCATGAGCTGCCAATGGCTGACATCTAGTTACACAGGGGGAGTTTTATCCGCTTGTAACATCAGGAAATCGGTGATGGCCTTTCGCTGCTCGTAAAGGCGGTCTAACATGTGTAGGGTTGAATTCCACCTTGTTGCAACGTCGCAGATCAGGCGATGCTGTGGAATTCCGTTCTGCCGCTGCAGCTCAATGAGGGTGTTCTTTGCGGTGTAGGAATGGCTGAAATGCATGCACAGTTTACGTGACATTTTAAGGATGTCTTGCAGTGGGATGGTGGATTTTAGGAACCGCTTGACAACCAGATTGAACACGTGAGCCATGCATGGCGCATGGCACAACCTTCCTTGACGCAGAGCAGACACCATGTTCTTTCCGTTGTCAGTCAACATGGTTCCGATTTTTAGTTTGCGCGGAGACAGCCATCTGTCGATTTCTCTGTTCATTACACTCAGCAGTTCCTCCCCTGTGTGACTACGTTCGCCAAGGCATACCAGGTGCAGCACAGCGTGACACCGTTGCGCCCTGCACATGTGATATGCCGGTCGGGTAATGGGACTTGGCACGGGGGGGTGGCGGCTGAGGACACGGCGGAAAAAAAAGAGGTGGTAGAGGCGGACATGCTTGCTGGACCAAGGACGTGCAAACGTGGAGGCAAAAGCGTCGTGACCTGTCCAAGTTGCTGGTGCGGCTGTGCCGGCACCACGTTCACCCAGTGGGCCGTAAATGACATGTACTGTCCCTGACCGTAGTTACAGCTCCACACGTCGGCGCTGCCGTGCACTTTGGCAGAGACCGACATGCTCAAAGACTGGCCCACCATCTCTTCTACATGTGAATGCAGGGCTGGCACTGCCTTTTGGGCAAAGAAATGACGGCTTGGCACTCTCCACCGCGGCGCGGCACAAGCCATCATTTCTCGGAAAGGTGCTGAGTCCACCAGTTGGAAAGGGAGGGACTGCAGCACCAGCAACTTGGACAGGAGGACGTTCAGCTTTTGCACCGTCGGGTGCGTGCTCGCAAACTGTTGTCTCTTGGATACGGATTCCAAGAAAGACTGTTGACGGAATCCGAGAAGAGGAGTAGCAGGAGAAGGAGCATCTGAACGAGCGGAAGATGCCAATGAGCGACAACTCCCCTCTCAGCAGAGGTGTTGGAGCCTTGACTGGCTGATAGAGGGCGATTGACGACGTCGGGTGACGGAGCAAGTAACGGAGCGGGTGAGCGGGATGGAGCGGGGGGCTGGGGCAGGCAGAACCGCCGTATGTTTATCACGGTTTTCCCAGGCCACCGAATGGTGACGCTGCATATGCTGACGCAACGCTGTAGTCCCAACATGGGCCCCCTGGCCACGCTTGCATTTCTGGCCACATAGTCGACATACGGCTACGTTTACTTCCTCGGGCGGGCTTGAGGGAGGAAAAATTGCCACACCACCGAGTAGGAAACTTTGCCCCCGCTACTCTTCACTGGCTGACTGCTACTTCCTCCGTGCGCAACGGCACCACTACTGGCCGTGGTGGTAGGCTGCAGTGGAGCTGGTGCTCTACTCCGTGGACGTTTGGCTCCACTGACACTGATGCGACCCTGCTGCTGTCTCCTGGGCAACCCACCGACTGTTTTGCTCGCTGCCAAGCTGCCACCCTCTTCTCCTGATGATGCGGAAGAAATTGCCTGATGACGACGAGGCTGCCAAGTGCGCGATCAACCTCCTCATCATCAAGTAGGGTCTCCGCCTCACTACTAGCCCCCTCGGCTGCGTCTGGGTCAGGAGACAGACCTGTCTCTAGACCGGCTACCGAGCCACTCTCCTCGCCAGTACTTGTTCGCTTGGCTGCTGAAAAGGCCGATGTCTCCCCCCGTTCCTGACCGCCCCTCTGTTAGCTCTTCCTCACTGTACAGTGGGGCTGAGCCCACAGCATGCGATACTTCGCTTGGTGAGGGAACAGCAAAGGACAGGGGCAGGTAGAGGACACGTGATTTCAGTGGGCTTGGTCCCGGGCCATGCCAACTAACGGTTGTGTCTGACGTACCCACCGACCGTTGGCTGTAGGTGTCAGAGGTGACCTGGGAAGAGGGAAGACGACCGAGCCAACCAATCAATGACGGCAGGGTTGTCGGTGGGTGGAGACACGACCGCTGGATGACACACGGGAGCACTGGCCTCTGGCTGCGAATACTGCTGCCTCGACCCCCTTCCTCTGCTGCCACGTCTGCTCGCTCCTAAAACATTGCCTCCTCTGCCACTCCTCTGCATGTTGTCTGACATACTATTTAATTCAACGATTAGGTGTCCCTGAGTAACAATTCTCTGGCACTCAGTAACAATTCTGTCTGTCCCTGAGTATGAATTCTGTGGCCTGAGTAACAATTCTGTGTGTCTGTGCGAGTAACAATTCTGTGTCTGTGCGTAACAAGTAGTAACAATTTTGTGTCTGTGCAAGTAACAATCTCTGGCACTCAGTAACAATTCTGTCTGTCCCTGAGTAACAATTCTCTGGCACTCAGTAACAATTCTGTCTGTCCCTGAGTAACAATTCTCTGGCACTCAGTAACAATTCTGTCTGTCCCTGAGTATGAATTCTGTGGCCCTGAGTAACAATTCTGTGTCTGTGCGAGTAACAATTCTGTGTCTGTGCAAGTAACAATTTTTGTGTCTGTGCGAGTAACAATTCTCTGGCACTCAGTAACAATTCTGTCTGTCCCTGAGTAAACAATTCTCTGGCACTCAGTAACAATTCTGTCTGTCCCTGAGTATGAATTCTGTGGCCCTGAGTAACAATTCTGTGTCTGCGAGTAACAATTCTGTGTCTGTGCAAGCAAGTAACAATTTTGTGTCTGTGCGAGTAACAATTCTCTGGCACTCAGTAACAATTCTGTCTGTCCCTGAGTAACAATTCTCTGGCACTCAGTAACAATTCTGTCTGTCCCTGAGTAACAATTCTCTGGCACTCAGTAACAATTCTGTCTGTCCCTGAGTATGAATTCTGTGGCCCTGAGTAACAATTCTGTGTCTGTGCGAGTAACAATTCTGTGTCTGTGCAAGTAACAATTTTGTGTCTGTGCGAGTAACAATTCTCTGGCACTCAGTAACAATTCTGTCTGTCCCTGAGTAACAATTCTCTGGCACTCAGTAACAATTTCTGTCTGTAACAATTCTCTGGAGTAACAATTTCTCTGGCACTGCTCAGTAACAATTCTCTGTGTGTCCCTGAGTATGAATTCTGTGGCTGAGTAACAATTCTCTGTCTGTGCAAGTAACAATTCTTCTGTGTCTGTGCACTGAGTAACAATTTTCTGTGTCTGTGCGAGTAACAATTCTGTGTCTGTAAACAATTTTGTCTGTCCCTGAGTAACAATTCTCTGGCACTCAGTAAACATTTGTCTGTCTGTCCCTGAGTAACAATTCTCTGGCACTCAGTAACAATTCTGTCTGTCCCTGAGTATGAATTCTGTGGCCCTGAGTAACAATTCTGTGTCTGTGCGAGTAACAATTCTGTGTCTGTGCAAGTAA